AACATTTTTTCCCCTGCCCGGGACAACGTATTTTGAGCGTATCGAGGGGGCGGAAATCCATCGTATGGCGTTCGTATGTTGGCGTATAGTACGAACGCGACTGGTACGCGAATCGCGTATTTTGCAACATAGTACTGAAGTGATGTGGGGAGTTTTTGACTTGGCTTGGCCAGCTGTGGGGGGTCCAGGCTGTTTACCTAGGCATATTGGTTCTGCATTCTTGCATGCGTTTCCTAGATGCCTTTTTACTGGTTGCTCGTTTTATCATAAGAATCTTGACATGCTCCTCTCACTTTCTTCCTCCTTTCCTCCTTGGCCTTTTATTCATGGTGTGTGCGTGCGTGCGTGCGTGTGTGTGCGTGTCTGAGTTTACTTCACATTTGTCATGCAACATATGGCTCACGTTTGCACATGGGTGCATGCATTTGCTGCATGCCTGCATGTTTGTGTGCATGTGTGCGTGCATGTCACGCCTCATGTGTGTGCGTTGCTTTTTTCCGCAGCCATTGAATCGTATATCCATTCTAGCAACCTATGTGTATGGTAAGTGGTCCATCCATCCATCCATCCATCCATCCATCCATCCATCCATCCATCCATCCATCCATCCATCCATCCATCCATCCATCCATCCATCCATCCATCCATCCATCCATCCATCCATCCATCCATCCATCCATCCATCCATCCATCCATCCATCCATCCATCCATCCATCCATCCATCCATCCATCCATCCATCCATCCATCCATCCATCCGTCCGTCCGTCCGTCCGTCCATCCATCCATCCATCCATCCATCCATCCATCCATCCATCCATCCATCCATCCATCCATCCATCCATCCATCCATCCATCCATCCGTCCGTCCGTCCGTCCGTCCGTCCATCCATCCATCCATCCATCCATCCATCCATCCATCCATCCATCCATCCATCCATCCATCCATCCATCCATCCATCCATCCATCCATCCATCCATCCATCCATCCATCCATCCATCCATCCATCCATCCATCCATCCATCCATCCATCCATCCATCCATCCATCCATCCATCCATCCATCCATCCATCCATCCATCCATCCATCCATCCATCCAACCATCCATCCATCCATCCACCATCCACCCATCCATCCATCCACCCATCCACACACCCAACCATCACCCATCCACAACCATTTTTACGCCTAATTGGGTCCTCTCATGTGCACATGCTTTTGCTTCATGTATGCATATGTCAACCAGCCCATCCTCTGGTGACGAGAAAGTAAAGAAAAGATTACATGTGTGTCAATACGTGCGGGTGTGGCGGTGTGTGCAGATCTGCCCGGAGCTGTACCGGACCCCATCTGCCATGAGGATCGCGAGCTGCTGAGGCGGAAGCTCGTGCAGATGGATGATGAGCTGCAACGCACTGTGAGTTTATCTACGAGGGTTGTGAAGAGGTCTAGGGAGAGCTAAGCACACTTGGTGAGTGGATCTTGGAAGCTCGTGCAGATGGGTGATGAGCTGCAACGCACTGTGAGTTTATCTACGAGGGTTGTGAAGAGGTATAGGGAGAGCTAAGCACACTTGGTGAGTGGATCTTGGAAGCTCGTGCAGATGGATGATGAGCTGCAACGCACTGTGAGTTTATCTACGAGGGTTGTGAAGAGGTATAGGGAGAGCTAAGCACACTTGGTGAGTGGATCTTGGAAGCTCGTGCAGATGGGCGATGAGCTGCAACGCACTGTGAGTTTATCTACGAGGGTTGTGAAGAGGTATAGGGAGAGCTAAGCACACTTGGTGAGTGGATCTTGGAAGCTCGTGCAGATGGATGATGAGCTGCAACGCACTGTGAGTTTATCTACGAGGGTTGTGAAGAGGTATAGGGAGAGCTAAGCACACATGGTGAGTGTATCTTGGAAGCTCGTGCAGATGGGCGATGAGCTGCAACGCACTGTGAGTTTATCTACGAGGGTTGTGAAGAGGTCTAGGCAGAGCTAAGCACACTTGGTGAGTGTATCTTGGAAGCTCGTGCAGATGGATGATGTGCTGCAACGCACTGTCTGTGAGTCGTTGACGTGGAGGTCATGCGTGCTTGCTCTGGGGTAAAGGGATGGTTTGCTCTGTGGGTACATCTTTGGGGGTTGTTAGGGTTAGGATGAGCTGAACACAGTATTCGTCAATCTTAGTGGGTTGTGAATCGTGATAGGCCATTGATGAGCTGCACTGCAACGCACTGAGATTCGTTGGAATCATGCGTAATCCGCTTGTGGGTTCATCGTGGGTGCAATGTGGTGCATAGTGGTTGCAGTATGTTGCTGGTGGGTGAAGATTGAGTGTAGCGTGCATTTGTTTGAATATAGTGGAAAGCATTGTGAAAATTGAATATCTATGCTTCTTCATACCTCTCCGCTTGCCCACTTTCAATATCTCCCCCTTTTGCGCTCTCTGCATCTCTTTCATTCCTACCTCCATCCTGCTTTCTTCTCAACCTTTCTCTCACCATGCTCACATGATTTGCTTCCTATTCCCCTATATTGCCCCCTGTTACATACCATTCTGGCACTGCTATTTCCAGAGAATCAAGTGCTTGCCATAAGTGCCATAAGTGTTTGTATCACATGGAAGTGGCTGCTACGAAGTGGCATTAGAGCAGCACTAGTAGTGATACCCTGCTTGTTGGCTGTGCCTGACCAGAAGAAAATCAATTGCTTGCAATAGGTACGGAGCCTCACTTTTGGATTAGTTTGCAACGAAAAACTTAACACTGATAGATGAAATTTCATCAAGCAATTTGTGGGCAATCGGTGTATGCGCTGGCTCCAGGCGGATGGTGGGCAATAGATTAGTTATGTAATATCTAGGTTTCTACCTAGAGAGACTTGTAACTCCCGAGATTTTAAATGTTGGGGTGTAGTTATGTAACTTTACAGTTCGTAACAGCTGTTGGCACTGTTGCAGAACGTGGTTCACCCAGCGCTTCACGACAAGCAATTTGGTTGGACCTTCTGTACAATCGGGAGGAGAGTGTCATGTCATACTCACGTCGCAGGGGGAAACTGTAGGGTGGGGAGGGGCGCAGCGCAATACGCGTAACAGAGTCAGTGGTACACTTTGCGGTTCAACTAAATGCTCACTCTGTTTCGTTTTCGCTGGTACAAAGGTGCGTGAACTGTACGAGCAATCAACCTCGCATAACCCACTTCCCTGCTCACCCCATCCCTCCAGACGAGGGACGCGGTATTGTACTGTTGTGGTGCTGTGTCTTATATAAGTAACGATTCCATTCCATCCTCCCAGCGCACGAACTTCACAAATTTTAGATATACTGTTCGCGATGTGGCGATCCTCCCGCGTGGAGTACGACTGGTTACCAGCTGTCAAAACAGTTCCGATTCTCGTTCGACACGCGGATGGGCGATGTTCCCAAATCAACCAAAAGTGTTGGGACGGGACCCAACCTGACGTGACGGAACGGGAGGTGACGTGACGTGAATCACGTGACTGACTGACAGACTGATGGTCAGGCCTCACCCTTTCCCCCATCCGATAGGTGTATCCAAATCAGCTTTCAGGTTGCCCTCTCCTGCAGAGGAATCGGCTACACAGTTGAGCACGGATGCGAAGGGAATGAAAGGAGAAGAGAGTTGGCAGATACATACATGTCGAGTCACTTGAGCCAGTAACTCAGCCGCGGAGAGTGAAGGACCAGAATGCTTCGGTGGCCGCCTTAGGAGGAACAGCGCGCCGTTGCGACGAAAGGCTCGAGGCGAGGCTGTTCGCGAGCTTAGCCCTCGTCCCGTCTCTCTTCTCCGTGCCACAATGGCCAGCAGCCGTTGCGCTTGCGTCTCGCATTCCTTTTTCTAAGAGATGCATGGAAGCAAGGGAATGACAGTGAGGAGCAAATTAGGGTTTCCTCCCCATCGTACTCCCATGCTGCACACGTAATTCTCGACACTCGCTGATTACCTCTCGCCCATTCTCGCTTACCGTCGTCCTACAATGAGGTTATTTAAGTAATGGTGTTGTTCTCTCCTACGACACTCCAAGTATCGCCCAAACAGCTGCCTAAAAAACTCGAACTCACGTCAAGTGTTGAGAAATAATCGCAACAACTCCGTGAGAGATAGCTCCAGCACACCACCTTGGTTCTTTTCATACTCGTTATAAGTATTATCATAAGCCCGCCGCTCTACAGCACGCCGCAATGGGGCGGCAGCAGCGGCTTCGTCCCCGCGTACAGCGGGTATCCTCTCTCGCAGGCCTCGTCGACAGCATGGTTCGCATTATCGACGAGACGCGTCGCGTCGCCCCGCGCGTTCCGGTCGACCGTTCCAATTTCATCACCATGGCCTTTTACCTGAACGACTTGCGCGACGCGCTCTCGCACGCCAGCCTGCGCGGAATTAGCGTCGGGTGGAGGTCGTTGAGTGGCAGCGCGGGGGGGAATAGCGGCGGAAGCGGGGGGAGCGCAGGCAGCGGCGGAAGCAGCGGCAGCAGCAGCGGGGGGAACTCAGGCGGGGCGGGGGGGGCAGCGTCGGCGGAGAACAAGCAAGAGCCGCTGGTAGGTGATGCGGAGGTGCATGTGCGCAGTCGGAAAGGCGCGCGGAGAAGCCGCTTTGCGCTCCCCGCGTCCATGTTCGCGCGGAGCAAGGGGAAAAGGGCAGGTAGTATAGGTGAGGAGAGCGAGGTCGTGGCGCCGTCGCCGGAATGGCGACGCGACTTGTCCGCGGGTTCCGATACAGTCACGTCTTCGGATGTCGGACCAGCAATATCCGGACCGTCCGATGGTGGCGAGGCGGAAGTTACCAGCGCCGCCCCCTCCGTCACCCCGTCCGCCTCCGCCGCCGCTGCCACCGACTCCGGTGGCGGCGGCGCTGACAGGGATAGCGCCGCCAGCGCCGCATCGGCCGCCGCAGGCGACGGCGCGACAGGCGCTAGCGGCGGCGGTCGGCAGCAGCCGCTTCTCCCCGCGGATGCGCGCGCGGCGCTGGAGGAGCTCCAGACGACGGTCATGGAGCTGCGCGACGCCACGCGCGAGGCGTGCCGCGTTGCGCGGCTGCTGCTCCTGCTAGACGCGGCGGCGCGCATGGCGGCGCTCCAGCGCATGGTGCGCGCGGTGGGGGACGCGCTGAGCCAGCCCGCGCTGCTGTCGCTCATGTCCTCCTGCCTCGCGCCCGCGGACGCCGCCAAACTGTCGGAGCTGCGCGCGCGCATGCAGTCCGCGTCGTTCGAGGCGGAACCGGAGGTGGCGCAGCTGTGCGCGCTGCTGAAGCGCGCGGTGATGAGCACGGGGATCGTGGGCGGACTCGTCAGCACCAGGGGCGGCTCCGTTTCCGCCGCCGCCGCGCGCGCCTATAGCGACGGGCAGGAGGCTCTATCGAAGGTGATTGTACACCTAGGACTGAGCGAGGTAGGCGGGGAAGGGGGCGGGGGAAAGGGAGCGGAGGGGGTTAGCGGGGGAGGAGGCATGGAGGGGGAAATGGGAGATTCAGAGAAGAAAAAATCCTCCCAGGCTTACCCACACCACCAGCAACACCACCACCACCATCATCATCACCACCACCATCACCAACAGCACGCAGCAGCAGCTGCAGCAGCAGCAGCAGCAGCAGCAGCAGCAGGGGCAGGGGCAGGGGCAGGAGCAAGAAGAGAGCGGGCCTGCGCGGTCCCCTCTGGCACTCCCTGTAGCGATTCTGCTCCAGGAGGTGCATTTAGACCTGGCTCTAGCCAAGGAGGTGGAGGAGAGGAGCCGCGACGTGGAGAAGCTAAGGGCGCTAGAGTGCCTCTTATCCATCGTCCAGACGCACGTGGGGGTTGTTGAGATTCCACCAGCCTCGCACTCGCCGTTCCCGGGAGCCGTTTCTGTTTCTGGTTCTGCTGCTGCTGCTTCGGCGGCTGCGTCGGGTGGTGGTGGTGGTTCGGGCAATGAGCGCGGTGGGTTGGGTGGTGGGGGGAGCTTTAACAGTAGAAGCCTGGCGGCGATTCTGGGAGGCGGAACGAGGGGGGAAGCAGGCGGGAAGGAGGAGGGAGTGGGAAGAGGGGAGGCAGGGGAGAGTTCTGCTGGCGTAGGAGGGGAGGAGGGGGGTAGGATAACGCGGTACCCTCGTGGCTTTAGCACAACGGAAGCGGTTTCTGCTGCTGCAGGAGACACAACACTAACAGCACCAGCACCAGCGTTTGCAGCCGTGGTGCCTGCGGCTGCCTTTCCTCCCAGCTCCAGCTCCGGCTCTGCTGCTGCTGCTGCCTTTGCTTCTGCCGCAGACGCACTTTCCGCTGCTGCTGCAGGCGGACTCCCCTCCCCCTCCCCCTCGCTCCGGCCATCTAGCTCTCTCACAGATCAGCCACCTCCTTCTCCTTCTGCTGCTGCTTCTGCTGCAGCTGCCGCCGCCACTGCTGCTGCTACTACTTCTAGTGATGCTGCTGGTGCCATCGCTGCTGCAGCAGCAGAACCAGATGCTTCTACCAGCCACGAACCACCCACTCCCACTGCTGCCACTCCCACTACCGCTCCCCCCGCCACATCCACTGCTGCTGCAGCCGTTCGTGCCGGCCCAGGCATCATCAGAGAGCGGGGGAGAATGAGCAGCAGGGAGCGGTTTCTGGGAGCTAGTATGAGGGAGGCTCGCCTGAGTGCGTCTAGCAGACTGGCAACATCGCCCGGCGAACAGGGAGCAGATACAGGCAGCGCCTGGGGTGCCTCTGACGCTGTCGCTGCCCCTGCCACCGCTGCTGCTACTGCTGCTGCTTCGGCAGGTGCTGCTGCCAGTGTTGGTTTCAGCAGCAGCAGCGACAGTGCTAGTGGTGCTAGTGGCATGAGCGGCAGCGGCGGCGGCAGCGGCGGCGGCGGCGGCGGCGGCGGCGGCAGCAGCAGCAGCAGCAGTAGCGGCGGAATAGCAGTGTCTGCGCGAAGGGCAGCAGGGCAGCGCATGAGAAAGTGGGCATCCATGAAAGCAGCCCACAGAGCAGCAGCAAACACCAGCAATAAGTCTACGTCAGGCCACGAATCCTCCTCTGCCGCTGGCGATCGCCCAGTGGAGGCCCCAGAGGGACCCGTGCTGCCCAAGCTAGCCCTGCAGGTGCAGCGCGAAATGGCTGGCGAAGTGAAGGCAGAGCTGCGGTGCGCGTTAACAGGGTTACCGCTGCAGCAGCCGGTGGTTCTGGTGGAGAGTGGCGTGGTGTTTGAGCGCGTGGCGATCGAGGCGTATATTGCGTGCGTGCGGGCGACTGGAGGGGGGAGAGAGGGGTTGGTTAGCAGGGGTGGGAGGGAGAAGGAGACGGGAGCGGGTGGAGGAGGGGATGATGCAGGAATTACCGCTGCTGCTGCTGCCGCTGCTGGTGTTGGGGGCGCAGGTGGTGATGGGGATGGAGCAGCATCCGCTGCAGCAGGGGGAGGTGGGGGTGGGGGCGGAGGGGAACGAAGGCTAGTCTCAGTGAGGAGTGGGGACTGGAGGAGGGGCATGGGGCGGAGCATGGGGAGGAGCAGAAGCATAGCAACACCAGACGGCTCCAAAGGAGGGGCAAAATCAGCAAAAGGAGCAGCAGCAGCAGCAGCAGCAGCGGTGGCGGCAGCAGCGGCAGCGGTGGCCGGAGTGGGAGCGGCAGGGGCGGGGGAAGCGGGGGTGGGTGGGGATAGCAGCGGTGGTGGAGCGGCGGCGGCGGCGGCGGCGGCGGCGGCAGCGGCAGCAGCAGGGCCGGTGGCTCAGTGTCCTGTGTCTCACAAGCAGATTCAAAGGTGGGACTTGGCAGCGGCGCATTGGCTGCGAGCGGATATACAGGCGCACCAAAAGAAAGTAGAGGCTGCTACGATTGACCGAGCTATTGAGGTCATGAGGAGACATGTTGATGCTGCTGCTGCCGCGCGCTGCTGCTGCTGCTGCTGCTGCTGCTGCTGCTGCTGCTGCTGCTGCTGCTGCTGCTGCTGCTGCTGCTGCTGCTGCTGCTGCTGCTGCTGGTGGTGAGGCTGCTGCTGCTTCTGCCAAAGCTGCTGGTGCCGCTGCTGGTGCCGCTGCTGGTGCCGCTGCTGGTGCTGTTGCTGGTGCTCCCACTGCTGCTGCTGTTGATGGTGCTGGTGCTGCAACAGCTGCAGCAGCAGTGGAGGTGGATAGGGAGGGTGGAGCAGGTAGGGAAAAGGAAGGGGAGGAGGAAGCGACAGGTGCAGGTACAAGAGCAGCAACAGGGGAAGCAGCAGCAGCAGCGGCGGTTGATGTCACTGCTGGGGAAGAAGGAGCCAAGCCTGACAGGGCGGAATCCGAGGCAGGGGCAGATGCTGCTGCTGCTTCAGCTACGAGTCAACCCAGTGATGCTGCTGAGAGCAAGAGCGAGAGCAGAGACAACAGCAAGGGCGAAATCAAGGGCGAAAACAGAGACGGCAAGGAGGGGAAAGGAGGGGAGGAGCGGGTGGAACACGCAGAAGAGGAAGGGGGGGATAAGGAAGGCAAAACCGGAGAGGCAGGGGGGGAGGGGGAAGGGGAGGGAAAGGCGGAGGGGGAGGCGGAGGGGGAGGCGGAGAGGGAGGCGGAGGGGGAGGCTGTGGCGGTGGCAGTGGAGGCTGTTGAAGTGCTGACTATGAGAGACGAGCAGCTGGGGCTTAGGCTTGTGGAGAGCGGGGGGGTGCCGCTGCTGATTGCACTGCTGGGCGCAGAGAAAAGGGTGCATGTGCGCGAGCACGTGCTGCTGTCTCTGCGCAACCTGGCGTGCCTGGGCGGGGATATACAGGTGAGAGAAGAGGGGATATACAGGTGAGAGGAGAGGGGATACACAGATGAGAGGGGATGCAGATGTGCGTGGATGCGTAGTGGCGAGAGCAGTGGGTTGTTCATGTGCACGCACTCACACATCCACATGCATATGTGTGCGCAGAGACAGGCATACGCACACGCGCGTGCGTGCGCGCACACACACTCGCAGGCATACGCACACTCGCGTGCGTGCTTTACAGGGCTTTGGGTTCTCTCCGTTACCACCCTCCTCTCCATCACTGTTTCCTTCTCTCTTTCCTCTTGTTCCACTTCTTTCCTCTTCATTCTCTTCTTATTACTTTCTAATTCTCTCCCCTCCCCGCCACCACGCCCGCCTGACCGTATCCACCGCCACCTCCCCCTTAGATACCATGCGCATGCCAAGCTCTTCTCCCCAAACACGTACCCTATCCTACCCCTTCGCTTGCTGCCATTCCTGTTGCAAATCAACCCAAACACACACGTAAGAGATGCCACCCCCCTTGGCTCGTGAACCAACGCCAACCAAACACACCCATAACACCTACCTACAAACACATCCCGCTGCTTCCCTCAACCCACTGCCCACGTCCCACTACCTCCTTTTGCAATCCCCCAACAACCAACCCGCATCACCCGACCCTGCTACCCACCCACCCCCAGGACATGCTGATAGAGCACAGGGTGCTGCCTCCTCTGGTGGCAGTGCTGGCGGAGAATGCAGCGGACGCCATGGCGGGCGTGCAGGTGCTGCACGAACTCGCCACGGGGGAGAGCGGCACCTCCCTCTCTCTCCTCCTTCCCGTGTCTCCTCATCTCATCTCAACCCACGCCCGTACCACTTCAACGCCCCCATCCCATGACTCTCCTCCTCTTCTTCCCACATCCTCCCATCCCACATCTCCCTATCTTACCCCCAACCCTCAACCCCCAACCCCCTACCCCCCACCACCCCAGGACATGCTGATAGAGCACGGGGTGCTGCCGCCACTAGTAGCAGTGCTGGCGGAGAATGCAGCGGACGCCATGGCGGGCGTGCAGGTGCTGCACGAGCTCGCCACGGGGGAGACACACCGCCACGCCATCGCCTCTGCCAAGGGCGACCTGGAGCTCATCCGCCTGCGCTCCCGGCACAAGGAGCCCGGCGACCAGGTGCATCGATGGGCAGGGATAATTGGGTGGGAGGGTTGGTGCTTTATTTGGTGGGTGGTTGGGTGGGCAGGGGAAAGCACCACTGGTGGAGTGATCGCCTCTGCCAAGGGCGACCTGGAGCTCATCCGCCTGCACTCCCGCCACAGGGAGCCCGGTGACCAGGTGGGTGGGGTAGGCGTGGAGTGGAGTTGGGTGGAGATGGGTGGGTGCATGCTTGGGCAGGCAGGTGCGCGTCTAATGGGTGATTGCTGCTGCCAAGGGCGACCTGGAGCTCATACGCCTGCGGTCCCGCCACAAGGAACCGGGCGACCAGGTTCGGGAGCGGGCCGGGATGGGTGGGTGGGCAGTGGAAGGGCGTCATCGCCTCGCCACTGCTAAGGGCGATTTGGAGCTCATCCACCTGCGGTCCAGGCACAAGGAGCCCGGCGACCAGGTGCGTGGTGGGTGTGGAGATGGGTGGAGATGGGTGTGTGGGTGCATGGTTGGGCAGGTGAATACGCCTCTAGTGGGTGGTGTGGTTGCTGCCCCCAAGGGCGACCTCGGGCTCATCCACCTGTCCGTCCCTTGTCTCTCCTACACTTCTCTCTCGCTCACCTTCCCCGTGCCAGTGGCGGAGCTGTTAGACACGGTGCTGCGGCTGTCCTGTCCGTCCTCCTCATCACCCTTTCACCATCTCTCTCTTTCTCTCACCTCCCACCCCCTGAACTCCCCATGCCAGGTGGCGGAGCTGCTAGACACGGTGCTGCGGCTGTTCTGGGAGGGGGATCCATCAGTGGCGGTGCACATGGCGGCAGCAGGCCTTATGGACCCTCTCGTCACGCTCATTGCACCTGGTATGCCCGCTGTAACCGTCTGTGTGTTGGCTGTGTGTGTTGAGAAGGAAGGGGTGGGAGAGGAAAAGAGGGGGAGATAATGGGCGTGTGGCCCTGAACATGGGTGGATGTGTTGGGTAGGTATTTCGGCTGTGTGTGGTTGTGGCACTGCGGCTGTTCTGGGAGGGCGATACGTCAGAGGCAGTGCACATGTGATGTGACATGGCGGCAGCAGGCCTCCCACTGGTCACGCTCATTGCACCCGGTATGCCTGCTGTGTGTGGGCTGTGTGTGGGCTGTGTGTGGGCTGTGTGTGGGCTGTGCGTGGAAAGGGGAAGGGGGTTTTTGTCACACAAGAACCACTGAAACAGTGCACTGGCATATCAGTTGGGGTTGTTGCTTCAGGCGTCTCATCCCCGTCACCTCTGCTGGGGTTTCCTATCCCTTGCCATCATCAAGGCCTCCTGTTATCATCTCCTGTTCCAACTCTCCTCCCATTCCATTCCCCTCCCCTCTCCCTGCCATAACTCCCCATGCTTCCCCAGGAAACGACATGGACACAGTTCTGCTCATGGCCGACTCAGTCATGTCTTGCAGAATCACCAAGGTGTCCTGTTCCCACTCCCCTCCCCTTCCCTCCCCACCCCCTTTATTCCCCCCTCCCCACACATCCCCAGGCAACGACATGGACACAGTTCTCCTCATGGCCGATGCAGTCATGTCGTGCGGCATCACCAAGGTCTCCCGCATAGCGCTCGTGCAAGCAGGCGTCCTCCCGCCGCTCGTCCACATGCTCTCGCACGCGCCCCCCAACGCACGCACCATGGCAGCCCGAGCCATAGAGCACCTCTCCCACACCGAAGCCAACCGCGTCGCCCTCGCCAAGGCTGGGGTCATCCCGGCCCTCGTCCGCTGCCTCGGCCGAACCATGCCGGGGGAGCTTCGGGGCGCGGCGCAAGCCACCCTCGCGAACCTAGCCATGGATGACCAGGATTTGGAGACTCTGGATGAGGAGGGGACGGTGGTACGGCTGCTTACTATGCTCCGCGTCGGCCCTGCGACGAGCCGAGAATATGCGGTGAAGACTCTAGAGTTTGTGACTCGGGACGAGGAGAATCGGCACATGAGAGCAACTGTGTTGGAAGATGAAGGGGCGGTGGGAGCGATAGTGTCTGCGCTGAGTGATGCTGTGCGGGCTACCGGCGGTGCTGTGAGCTCCACGCATTTCACCGCTGGGGCTTTAAGGGCCAGCGCGCTGCTGCTCCTGCAGCACCTAGCGAAGGAGCCGATGGCGGCCGCGGCAATGGCGTCGGTGCCGGAGGCAGTGCCGCTGCTGGGGCAGCTGCTGGTGCTGGCTCTGCCGCAGGAGGAGCATGAGGCTGTGGTGATGGTTCTCGGGGCCATGGCTGCGGATAAGGGGATGAGGTGGCGGGTGCGGAAGCTGCGGCATCTGCTGCTGTGCATGAGGAGGCTGCTTCCGGGGGCTGATGCGGCCATTGCTGCTGCTGCCGCCGCTGCCAAATCCGCCGCGGCAGGAGGAGGCGGAGGGGTAGGCGTAGTAGGAGGAGGAGCAGGGCTGCTTCAGCAGCAGCAGCAGCTGCAGCAGGTGGGAGCGGGGGAAGGGGCTGCTGCTGGAGTGGCGGGTACGGGACGGCTTGTGGGACGGGTGTTTGGTGGAGGGAGGAGGGGCGGTACTGGTGGGTTAGGTTCGTCCCTATTGGGTGGAGGTGTGAAGAAAGGTGGCCGATCTGGTCTAGGTCTGAACAAAAGCAAAGGGGCTGGTGGTGGTGCTGCTGGTGGTGGCAGTGGCAGTGGGAGCAGAGATGGCAAGGGGGGATCGGATGGTAATTCTACTGCTGCTGCTGCTGCTGCTGCTGCTGGTGCTGGTGCTGCTGCTGGTGCCGGTTCTGGTGCTGCTGCTGCTGGTGGTGCTGCTGGTGCAGCTGGTGCGGCTGGTGGTGTTGGGGGTATGGGCATGGGAGGAGTGTCATGGGCCGATTACCTTCCAGATAATTCCGAAGGGGAAGAAGAGGAGGACGACAATGAGGAGGAACACGGGAGCAGCAAGGGAACTCCCACAGCTGCGAGCAACACCAACAGCAGCAGCAACAGCAGCATCCGGCCTGGAATGAACATCTTTGGCGCTCTCTCAAGACCAAAGCCAAAGGCTAAGCCTTCCAGTGCCCCCTCCTCTGGAACCTTCAGTCTTGAGCCGAACGCTGGCAACATTAACGAGCAGCAGCAACAGCAGCAGCAGCAACAACAGCAGCAGCACAGGCCTTCACACCATCAACAGCACTGCCTCTTCCTTTAACTCATCCTCCACTTCCTCCTCATCCTCCACCTCCTCTCTCTCCGCCTTCGGTCCCGCCGTGCGCCCCGCAATGCGCCCCCCTCCCCCTCCCGCCATTCTCGAAGCCAACTCTCTCCTCCTCCTCTCCTCCTCCGCCCGCCCTGCCTCCTCCATAGCCGTGCAGGAGGCTGTCCTACGTGGTGTCGCGGCATTGGCCGATCCCGACGATCCGGCAATGCAGCAAGAAGTAGCACGGCTGGGTTTCCTCCCTCTCGCCGTGCATCACCTGAGGGTTGGCCCGGACGCTCTCCGTATCCCCTCTGCCCGCTTGCTGGAAAACCTCTCGCTCTCCTCCCCACGCCTCTCCCGCCTACGCGCCCTCGCCCACTCCTCCCCTGTCGCCGCCGCCGCTGTTGCTGGTGCTGCTACTGGGCCTGGAAACGCAGCAGCAGGAGCGGGAAGAGCAGGGGCTGCTGCTGCTGCCGCTCGAGGGGGGTTTGGGCAGGGGTTGGTGGCGCCTGAAGTGTCAGGGTCAGGGGCGAGAGGTCAGGCGGGTCAGCAGGCGAGTCAGCACAATTATTCAGGGCCGCTGAATACATGGCAGGAAGCAGAATCACCTGTGGGTAATGCTGCTGCTGCTGCTGCTGCTGCTGGGGGTGGGGCTGGGAATGGGTTTGGAGACAGAGGGGAGGGTAAGGATGTGGGAGTGGGAAAGGGAGTTGGTATGGGTGTTGCTGGAAGCGGTTTGAGAGGGGAGGCTGGTGCTGCAAGGGAGTCTGTGCCTAGCTGTGCTGGTAGGGACCCGCAAGTGGGGGCGGCGGCTGCTGCTGTTGCTATTAGAGCTGTGAACTGGCAGGGAGGAGGGGAAACAGGTGGTCGAGAGGAACCAGGAGGACGGAGGGTGATTGGAAGAGGAGATAGGCGGGTGGATGGGGAGGGGGTTAGCTTGAGGCAAGAGCTTGAGAACAGTGACGTGCAACAGTATAACGAGCCCCAACAGCAACAGCAACAGCAACAGCAGCAGCAGCAGCAACAGAGCAGGAGTGGTGCGAATGTGGAAGGCTCGAATTCAGCCCGGAACAGCTTGGATGAGCAGGAGAGCCCAAGACTAGCAGAATCGCAGCAAGCAGAGAGCAAACGAGCAGGCCCAACGCTACCAGAGGTCACACCCAACGCTCAGAGCGCTAGCGGTGGCGTGAGAGGAGAGAGTGGGGGGAAAGGGGTGAGGGCGCGGAGAGGGGGGCCTGCGCTGAATTTGCAAGTGGGTCAGCATTCCGCAGCAGCGCTGCTCTCTCCCAGGGTCTTCTTCCCCTTTCACACTGCCCTCTCCTCCCCCCGCCAGTCCCCTTCCCCGAAATCCCGTGCCGAGCAAAAGAGGGGCTCACAGATTGGCGGAGCAGGAGGAGTAAAGAACTCTAGTGGAGCGGGTGGGGGCGGCGTGAATGCAGGTGGTGGGGTTAATGCGGCAGGAGTTGGTGGGGGTGGTGTTGGGGTTGGTGGGGGCGGTGGTGGTGGTGGTGGTGGTGGTGGTGGTGGTGGTGTGGGTGGGCGTGGTCTCATCTCGAGGCACAGGAAGAGCAACAGCGGCAGTGCGTTTGACCTGTTTGGGAGCAGCGGCACGCATGTACGAGGCGCAAGCGACTCCAGCAACGGCAGCTTGTTGTCGGGCCCTGGCCTGTCCGCCTCCTTCCACCATGCATCCCTCGACTTCAGCCACCACTCCCACGCACACGACCCTTTTGCCCACCACATCCCCGACTTCAGCCTGACAGAAGCACCAGAATCACCTGGTGCACAGGCGCAGCTAAGCCCACTCCCTCCCATCGACCCCCACTCTACCGCCTCCTCCTCTCTCTACGGCCGCAGCCTCCTCTCTCGCAACATGCGTCTCCCGTCCCTCCTCGCCCTCCCCCAGCTCTACCGCTCGTGCAAGGTCCACGGCGGCAAGTGCTCCCTCCCCACCACCTTCTGTCTCCTCGACGACAACCTAATCGATGTTCTTCTAGAGCTCGTCTGCCGCGCCACCACCAACGTCGCCGAGGTCTGTCTCGCCGCCGTCGCGAGCCTTTTAGCCGACGACGCGTGCCACGAGCGGGCTGCAGAGTTCCTGGTGAAGCGAGACGTGGTGGAGGTGGCAGCGACGATGGTGGGGCGATCCAAGGAGCTCACGAGGGTTGGTGTGTATATCCTCGAGAGGATCTTTGCGTTTGGCAAGTTCCGCAAGCCCAAGTACTCGCAGCCGGCAGTGGCGGCGCTGGGCAGGTTCATGACCACGGCCTCTGGGCAGTCTAGAAAGACTGCTGCAGAGACCCTAATGCGCCTCGGGATACTGCCCAAGGGATCGCTTACTATGGATATTTAATGCGGTTGCGGCGCTGGGGAGGTTCATGACGACGGCATCTGGGCAGTCCAGGAAAACGGCTGCGGAGACTCTCATGCGTCTAAGGATACTGCCCAAGGGATCGCTTACTATGGATATTTAATGCAGTGGCGGCGCTGGGCAGGTTCATGAATGACCATGGCGTCTGGGCAGTCCAGGAAGACTGCTGCAGAGACCCTAATGCGTCTAGGGATACTGTCCAAGGGGTCTCTCACTATGGATATTTAATGCGGTGGCGGCGCTGGGAAGGTTCATGACCACGGCGTCTGGGCAGTCGAGGAAGACGGCTGCGGAAACGCTCATGCAGCTTGGGATATTGCTTGAGGGTTCGCTTACAATGGACTTGTGATGGGATGTGGTGGTATGGGATGGGAGGCGGTGGCGGCACTGGGGAGGTTCATGACGACTGCTTCTGGGCAGTTGACGAAGACTGCTGCAGAGACCCTATGCGCCTAAGGAAATTGCCCAAGGGATACTATGGACCTGAGATGCGGTGGGATGGGATGGGATGGGATGGGGTGGGTTGGAATGGGATGGGATGGGATGTGATGTTGCAGAGAAACTGCTTCTCCTGCAGCCATACCATACCACTCAGTTTCAGTTGCCTTGAGTGATTTGGCAGGCAGAAGCTGCTACGTTGTTTACGGTAGCGTTAGGGGAAAAGAAAACGGCCACTGGAGATCATTTCACAGAATGATTCAGTGTGACGTGAACTTGACTTGGTCTTACGATAGTAGAGGAGTAGTATAGTGCCTGTCATGTATGATTGGAGATTGAGTTATGTGATATCTCAAAACCTTTTGAGACATTTCCTGGTTGTGGTAGGGGGCCCCCTCCCTCGTGTTGCACTGCCCATGCCGTTGTCCCTCAATTTCCCCTCCGATGCATGTCCTTAACCTATCACGGCATTTCTGAGGCTGGGTTTGCTAACTTCTGTCGGCGCCTCACTGTTGATCGTTGGGTGCGGATGTCGAAGTTGTGCTTAACGTTCTTTTTGAAGATGTAGTGTTACACTTTCTAAGGTGACTTCTTCTGAAATCGCAGCAGCTTGTACGCAGCAGCAGGTGTGTGTCAAATGCTACTGTATTTGGCCCCACCAAGAAGCAATGTTATTGCTAGTCAAAAGCAAGCTTCCTTAGTACATATTATTATGAAAGCAATAAGCAAGCTTTTTGCAGGGAGGTACAAGGAGAAGGGAGGCAAGCAGCAATAGGTGCTCGAGCACAATTCTGTTGCGCAGACTGAAGACTACAGCATTGAACATGGAACCATTTTCACTGCACTACTTTACAGGGAATACACTTACCGTACAACTCTAAATTATAAAATCTGAAAAAAATGTCATAAGGCAGCTCAAGGCAGGTACCTTCAGATACTCTTCTATCAAGTACCGTAAACTTTCCTCTGTGACAGTAATTCCTTTGACGGTGCACAAACCATGCCTTTGTGGTTGTGAACCCTTGGCAGTCCTGCGCTAGCAATTAATCTCCACACCCATGGCAGCTTGCCGGGCAGCAAGGGCTCTCTTTGAAAAGAAGTAGCGTGTGGGGGGTCGATTCTTGAGGCGCCTCAGCAACTGCGGCAGTTTGAAGGCCAGCAGCAGCAGCACCGCCAGTGGAAGCAGCAGCAGCAGCAACAACAGGTTCCGAGGCGCGTGGAGAGCAGAAAAAGTCACCCCCATGGCTGCAATGCCTGGTGGTTCAGTGCATGCAGGGTGGATACGGAGAGGAAAGAGTTATGGGAAAAAGTGATGCGTGTAAGCAAAAAGGGATGCCAGCAAGCAGGCATGTTGGCAAGCAGGCATGTTGGCAAGGAGGCATGTTGGCAAAAAGGCATTTTGGCAAGCAGGCATGTTGGCAAGCAGGCATGTTGGCAAGCAGGCATGTTGGCAAGCAGGCATGTTGGCAAGCAGGCATGTTGGCAAGCAGGCATGTTGGCAAGCAGGCATGTTGGCAAGCAGGCATGTTGGCAAGCAGGCTTGGGAAGACAAGATCCAGCAAGGACGAGCTTATGGCTGGAAACTATTGGAAAAAGAAAGCAGGAGCCGGCTAGTGACAGCATTCAGCAGCTGGCACAACGTGAGGGTGAGGCAGCAGGCGGCATACCGTGGGAGACGCACGTGCCAGCCTTTGGCCCTGGCGTGCACCCCTCATCACAGACGCACTGGCCCTCGGGTTCACAGTAGGGTGGCGGCGGCACTTCCTCCTCACAGGCACTCATCTCCTCAGACGGGTCCGGCTCAAAGGAGCACACGCCATGGCCGCTGCACGGCGGGGTGAGTGGCTGCGCCCCACAGAACGCCCGGCACTCGCTGGCTCTCCTCTGGTCCTTCCAACGGCCGCAGGAGATCGAGTTGTTTTCGAGGCAGTTGTGGTGGAACAGACACAAGCTGTGGTATTCTGAAGGGTCGTCTAGGCCGGTAGCGTTGAACGGGAGAGGGTCTGCTGTGGCTGTGAGGTAGTTGTGGTCTGCAGTCAGTCCCTGTTGCGAAGTGAGACGGGCCATGTGGTGGAAGGAGGGCAGCTCTCCCGTAAGCTGGTTGTGGTCAAGGCGACTGTGATGGCAAGGGAAGGAGGGAGGGGAAGGGGTGGGAAGGCAGAGGAGTGGTTAGGAATGGGAGTGATGAGACAAGAGCAGGATTTGGAGTCGTCGACTTGTTGAGTCATCAACCGAATCTTCATATGTTAGCGCTGTGTTGGATCAGACGGGTGTGTCAACACGCTGTATGATCCCTCCTATCATCTACTTATCATTTCTTAGGCATGGGCAGAGCGCTCAGGAGGAGGAAGAACTCCAAATGGGTCAGGGTATGAGCAAGACAGGGCCCTACAGGAACAAGGTTGACTTCTGAGTCACCTGGTTACAAGGGCACACAAGGAGGAAGAACTCCAAATGAGGCAGGGTATGAGCAGGACAGGGCTCCACAGGAACGACGGTAGACCCAGGAGGGGAGAGTAAGTGGTGCTATGGGAGTAGGTGGGATAGCATGAGTAGCATTCACTCAGAAAGGCTGACGAGGTTGCCACCCTTCAAGTTGAAGCGGCCTTCAGCAAGCATACACGTAGAGACGTGTGAGAGACGTGCGAGTCGCAGAAAACGAGCTGCTGCCAGCAGTAGGGGTGGCGTTTCCGAGAGAAGAAGAGATGGGCAGCAGTGGTGCTGACAGTTGTTGGAGTTGAGTGCACGCGGAGACTGAAGCTGGTGACTCAACAGACATGCAACACAACCAGGTTGCTATTAGGATTACTCAAAAAACACCACCAAACAAGGATGACACTTGGGGGTGGGGACGACCGAGGAGGTAGCACTGACAGGTATTCGAGATTAATGAGCGTGGTGATTGCAGCAGGTATCGTCCCTGCAAGGCGATTGGTGCTGAGTTGCCTGAAGAGAGACGGGTGGATGAATGGACGTGGAGCGAAGGAGGGAAGACGAGGGGAAGGGGTGAAGAGGAGAAGAGACGAAGTGGAGAAGAGGGGAAGAGGAGAGGAGAAGTGGAGGAGAAGTGAAGAAGAGAGGAGGATAAGAAAGCAGATATGGTGCCTTGGAAAAGCGTGAGTGCTGTTGCTGAATGGTTTGTGCCTTAAGAAACGCACACCTGCAGATCAGACGGAATTGAAGTCAACAAAAAGTGCCTCCGCACTCTCCTACCCATTGCCCTCGTCTCCCCTCCCTCCCTCTCCCTCCCTCTCATTCCGTTCCTCATCCTACTCACCCTCTGAAACCCCAGATGCTCGGTAGAGAGAGGCAGGTGGAAAGAATAAATGGAGATGGGGGGTGGAGGGAGATTGGGCGCACATGAAGGTGAGTGCGGTGAGGTGGGCAATGGAGGCGGGAATGGTGCCACTCAGCCAGTTGTCCCGCAGGTCCCTGCCATGGTATAGCATGTGATGGAATGGGATGGGATGGGATGGTGGGATGGGATGGGATGGACGGGCAGGCCATTAGCCCATAGGGATGCCTCCACTCACTCACTCACTCACTCAATCCATCACTGAGCCACTCACGCTCTCGCCCCCTCACCCACTCTCATTCCTTATCAAATCATTTAAAATTTTCAATATCAAAATTTCCTTTCTCGTTCTTGAAAACAGGAGATTCTTTAATAAGTTTAATAACCGACTCATCACTTATATCTAAATCGTAGTAGTCTCTTATGCGGTTTAATATACTATCATTAATTAACTTTCGTAGAACTATATTATTTATGTCTAATTGTGGAGTATCCTCCTCGCTCAGATCTGTTCCACTTTGTCGTTGAATAATGTTATATTTTTCTGCTTTTGCTCTCAGAAACTCACTTTCACCCACACGTCACTTACTCGCCCACCCTCTCTCTGCCTCTCACTCTCATACTCATTCGCTCACTGAGGGGCACGTATGGGGCTTGTTAGAATATAGCATATGTTAGTTTATAATGGTGCAAATGTTTCACCCGATGTGGGTGTACACTGTAGGCCAAGGCGGCCCGACCAGGTTTTGTTGGGTGTACCCCAAAACCTCTCGACCGCATTTGCCCGGGGGAAACCAACTTGGTTGGCTCATCCCAACCATTATCCCCCCTCCCCCCCTCTCATCCCCCCCCCCAAATATTTGACTGTCAGCCCAAAAGCATTAATTGGGGACCATTCTTATTGGTCCACCAATAATGCTTTGGGTTCCTCACCAAGCTACCCGCACGGTCATCTCCTATATGTACCCACGTTTTACCTAATGACATCAACTCTTAAGTTCACCTCTCATCCCAAGTGTGAATCCTCACACGCCACACCTGATCACCCCACAGCACCTTGCATGCCTACCCCATCACCACTCACAAATCCCCCAGTTGCTTGAGGCTGCTGATTGCCTCTGGAATGGAGCCTGAGAGATTGTTTTGGCTGAGGCCTCTGGAGCATGATGAGGGTACGACGGAGAGGGGAAGGTGGAGAGGGGAAGGCGGAGAGGGGAAGACGGAGAGGGGAAGACGGAGAGGGGAAGGC